TTATGTAATAATTATATTTACAAAAATTAATTTTATCTGAATTTTACTTAAAGAAAATAAATTTTTATACATTGTTTGCCACACAAAAGATATGCAGTGAAACATGGTCGATGTGGACAATGAGTTATTTGAACTAATTAGTTAGTTTAATTAGTTAGCTAGTCTTAATTGTAGCTAAAATTATGTGGCAGTTGTAATGTAATGTAATGCATTTCAGAATGAGTTGTGTGAAGTAAATGCCCAAATTGACCATGTTCACAGTTCACAGTTCACAGTTCATGTTTCACTGCAGTGTTTTGTGCCTTGAATTTCAAAAGTAGCGCTCACTCTATGTTTAGCCAATAGTTTGTGAGATATTGTGAACAAAAAGTGATACAAATATTGAAAACATGTTTCGCTGTTTTCAATGAGTTTTCAATTGAATTGTATTTTCAATTAATTGTCACTTCATTTCAATCCATAAGACATGAGTAGACGAAGACATTTGGACGAAGAAAGTAATGGTTTGCTATGAAGTGATGATTACATGTCTAATGATATGATTGTTTGGATGGTTTAGCGGACGACAGGCCGCGGAAGAGACGCCGCAATGACTTCGAGGAATCAGAAGAAGGACTCGAATTACGTCTGGAATCGCTTATCATAAGAATCGGCGAAAAGGTTTGATTGAATGCTTAGACAATGCATTGATGACATCGTTGTGACCATTGATTGCATTCTTAGAGCACATCCTCTATTGAGACTAATATTGAAGGTTTGGCTAAAGTATTGACCGCAGACTTAGACAACTCCAAGACTAAGATTATAAACATTATCTGCGAATGGTTTGTATTTTTAGACAATTTTTCTCATTTAATGACACTTTTTATATCAATTGATATTTTTGGGTCAAAAGTGTGGCTAAATATCCGGAGAAGACATGCATTTACTCAACACTTATCGGACTCTTAAACGCGAAGAACTATAATTTTGGCGGAGAAGTAAACCATTAGTGGATGTGTTTTAAGATTTATTTACTTATTATGAATTGATTTTGTCTTAAAGATTGTGGAACTTCTTGTGCGACACTTCAAAGACTATTTGAAAGCTCTGGACTTCGAGTCGGCGAGACTTTTAGTCAGATTTTTTGGCGATTTAGTCAACTGTCGGGTCATATCTTCGGCTTCACTGATGAATCTGTTTGAAAATCTAGTGGAGGTGTCGATGGAGGACAACATCCCTCAGTCGCGATCCGATTACTTTGTGTTCTGCGTTCTGTCAGCGCTTCCGTGGGTCGGCAAAGAGCTCTACGAGAAGAAGGAACAAGACTTAGAACAACTGCTCAACACTATTGATAATTATCTAAATAAGGTATTAATGTTTGACATAAACTGCTAATTGATTTGATTGACTAATGAAGTGTATGTTTGACAGCGAAATAAGACACACCATCACACGGCTCTTCGAGTCTGGTATTCAGACACTCCTCATCCACAGGAAGAATATTTGGATTGCTTTTGGGCCCAAATATCTAAACTACGTTCAGATAAATGGGTTGAACGGCATATATATCGACCGTATTTGGCATTCGACAGCGTGTTATGCGAAGCACTTCAGCATAACTTACCACAAGTACAGCCGCCGCCTCACGAAGCAAATTATGTCTATCCGTACCCTAAAGTGGTGTTCAGACTCTTTGACTACACGGACTGTCCAGAAGGTCCGGTCCTTCCCGGCGCGCATTCCATTGAACGATATTTAATTGAAGAACACTTGCATTGGATTATCAATCAGAATAATACTGATAGAAAGGACTGGTATTTGATTTGACAAAAAATTAATTGTATTTATTAAATAATTGATGGATTGTTTAATGTTTAGTGCTATGAAGTTATTGACGTTTCCCAACAAACATAAAATTCCGTTGGAATACATGATAATCGAAGTGATGTTTTCACAAATGTTTGATTTACCAAAGAGTAAATATTTGGACGTTTTTTACGGCTCAACACTTTTGGAATTGTGTAAATTACAGCCCAGTTCTCTGCCTCAAGTGGTCTGTAATCTTCATACTATTGATGGCATAATTTCTAAACAATGATTTGTGTATTTGTCAACAGTTGGCACAAGCGGTGGAACTGCTATTTGAAAGGTTGGACACAATGAACTGCATGTGTGTCGATCGGTTTGCCGTATGGTTTGCCTATCATTTAAGTAATTTCCAATTCCGATGGAGTTGGGATGACTGGAGTACAGCTCTTACATTAGACCCGTTGCACCCGAAGCCCAAATTTATTCGCGAAACACTTTTGCGTTGTTTGCGTTTGTCTTTTCACGAACAGGTCGTCAAAATAATTCCCGACTCTTTCCATGAGTTGGCGCCCGAAGACCCGATTCCTCATAACAAATACAGTTTAGAGGGCGACAAACCGCCAGAGTCTGTGCCCACCGCTGAAGTCGCCGCCGCTTTAGTCAATAAAATTAAAGAGAAATGCACTCCAGAGGAGGCACTCGAGGTTCTTAAAGAATTGACCGCTCCTTTGATGGAAACTGATGACGGTATTCATGACATTCATTTGTTTAGTTATTCTGTTCACTAATTAGTGTATATTTAATTCAGAGCCGAATCACAATTCATTGCAAATTGAAGTGTTTGTGACAGTATTGCTAAATTTGGCCTCAAAATCATTTACGCATTGTTTTTCAGCAATTGCTAAGTATTTGTTAAAATTGTTGTACTTTTTGTCATATAATTTACTAAATTTGATGATAGATATCATTCGGCATTTATGGCGCTCAAGACCTCAGAAGAAGCGCAGATCTCTATTTTGAGTACAATTTTTGAAGTTTGGAGAAAACATCAACAGGTATTGCAATCAATGATTTGATTTGTAAATAATGACTAACTTATAATATGTTGAATTGAATTAGTTATTGGTTATTCTCATCAGTAAATTATTGAAATCAGAAGTCATTGAATGCTCTTCTGTTGCCAATTGGCTCTTCTCTAAAGAGAATTCATCGGAATTTATGAAGTATTGATTGTTTTAATTATATTATTGGTACTAATATGTGACCTAAATGTTGTAACAGATCATACATTTGGGAAATTCTAAACCAAACGATACAAAAGTCTATAAGAAGTGTTGAATCACTTGAAAAAGAATTGGAAGAATCGAAAGAAAAATTACGAAAGGTTTGGAAATAATAACATAATTATTTAAACTAGTTATCAATGAATTTCATATATATTTAAGTATAAAGTATAGAAACTATTTTAGCAATTGGCAATTGGGCTCATTTAGCAACTATTTTGAGCCTTTGTAGTTATTGTAACGATTGGTTTATGTTTAGATGGAATCGGGAGATACGGCTGAAGAAAGTGAAGTTCCCACTGAAGAGATGGTCGACTCCATTGAAGAGCGCTTAGAAGCGGCGCAATCGGATCAGAAGAATCTGTTTCTCATAATATTCCAGCGCTTTATTATGTTATTGTCTGAACACATCCAGAAATGTGAATCACAGGGAAAGAGCTTTAAGAGTCATTGGTTTCGCTGGACTATCGGACGACTCCAACAGGTCTTCTTTGAGGTAAATATGATTGATTGTAATCAATATATATTGTATTAATTAATGTGTAAATCTGACGCCAATTAGCATCACAACCATGTCTTCAAATATCTGTCAACATTCGAGACCCTATTATTTACGGCTGATTTGGATCAACACATTCTTCTCATATTCAAACAGTTCTGCGCTCTCAGGAATTGAATGCCATTTCATATCAATTGATTGCTTAAATATTCTGATAAAAGTAAATGACATTTAATTCAAATGTGGAAACATTTAGAATGTTATCTCAATTTGTGAGCGATTTTTTCACACTTATATATTATCTCAATTAAAGTCTCACTCAATCGGACTAAATATTTGATTCAAAAACACTAAATATTATTCTTTGATTGTATGCATGAATTAAAAATAATTTTTGAACTAAAATTTAATTTTTTATTTGCAAAACTATTTCTGTTTATTATAAATTAATTGACATGAATTAAATAAAATGTGTACTATTTTAATTGATTTGCCAAAATATACATTGTATATCTAAACTGAATTGAACATAAAAATGGATGCTTAACGCTCCCTCCCTGAATGGAACCCTAACTTACTGTAAGTCAATGGAACGTTAACATCACCATAGGTTAATATTATTTTATTGATAACGTTAATTCTAGGGCCTAATTTTAAGTTAGAATCTAGAATCGAAAATTTCTTTATACTGTAATAGCTTTTGAAAATTATAAAGAAAACTTCAATGAAATGGCAATTAGAAAATTGCTGATAAATCTATTTACTAACTAAGCCCTAAGTTAGTTAACTATGAAAACACGAATAACAATGAAAATTGTGAAAATATTTATTGGATATTTATTGAAAATTTTATTGAATAAGTAAAAATTATAAAAATATGTAACATAGATTCTTATTGTGTATCTATTCTTATTGGAATCACAAACAATAATTATTATTTTGTTTTCCATAATAGATATTAATATTATTATATATGGCATTTGTTGCGCATCTTGTCTATAATAAAATTTTCGCTAAAAAGTTTACATAAATAAAATGGTTTTAAAAATAAATGCAATCAAATTAATAGACAATATGTGAGTGAATTGAGTGACAACTGGTAAACAGTAATGAACACCAGTTTTCTCCTGTATTTGTGACCAAAATTGAAGGTTTATTTGTGTAA